GTAATTATGTAAGTAGAGATATTTTTTATAGATTTTAAGTAACTCAGTTTTTGTAGTTTGATTTTCTTGCTTCATTACTATTGTAGCATTAAAACTTTCCATATAACTATAGCTAGTTAGGTTACGTACATATCAATCCTTACTTGTCTTGATAAAATCTACATTTTTTTTATTATACTTGTTTGTTTCCTTTTTATTAGCTATATTTTTGTGCGCCAGCAATACCTAGCGTGGGGTGTGCTTATACCGAATTCGATTTTATTACTCATCAGGATCTCTACCAACCTACCCTCAAATCTAATTATAAGCCCAAAGTAGCGCATCGTCCGCTATATATATATATATATAAGGTTCATCACCTTTTCCATATGCTTGTCTGGAAAAATCACTTATTTACTCAGATGAAAATTCGTTGAAATAATGAAATTTTGTTTTACTCCATAAACACATATATAGCGATTTAGGCGACTTTATAAGTACAATAAAATTTAGTTTTGCTCAGTCATTACTGTGAAATAGTCATTATTAATATTCAGACATTTTAAAGATGGTTCTACACGGGAGTTTTTATGGCCGCCATTTTGTTTCATCACGATCCCTACTATTAAATACTACAGTGCTTAATGATAGATATGTAATGAACAATATTTAAGAGAGTACCAAGGGTGACTGAATCTAAGAGTTATTTTTAATGATGCTGCCTTCAAGAATAAAAAGTCCTTTTATTGTAAGCATTGTATATTGAGGACTTAGTATTTGGAAAAGATCCCAATCGTAAATCATACCAGATTTTATATTTCAGAATTCTTCTTATGAGACCAACGTATATTATTTCAAGGAAATAAACAGCATTCAGTTTGTATTTCCAAGAAAATAGACACCATGCAAGTGTGTATTTTCAAGGCGTAATGTGGCTCAGATCAATTTGACTAAAGCTTGAGAAGTATATATATATATTATATAAACACTTTTTTTTATGTAAGCGTTCCTAAGAGAATTATCTTTGCCGTTAACACCTAGTGTCTGTGTTTTTCTACAGTACGCCATCTGAAGATTCTTAACGAACTTATATTTTTCACTAAAATCGAGGAACCTTGGCTCTTTTGCCAACAGGTAAGTCCTATAACGATGTTATTTCCGGTTTCATATCGCCGTCTAAGTTCACTGCTGCACGGAAACACTCGAAAACTGGGTGAAATATATTCTAGATTAGCACACTTTTCCGCAATAAATAGTGGCAGGTAAAGAAAATAGTATCAACTCAGTGACTTAAGGTTTGTAAAGCGATCTTTTTCTCATGTCTTTTTTTTTCTCTTTTCACATGTTGCTTATCTATCGTGCAAATAAATATTCATTTTAAGATTAAAAATAGTTTCATGTATCAGAAAATGTTGAAATTTCACATGCAAAATCTTTTTATGTCCGGATGGTTATCAAACGTTTCTTAATAAAAAAATCTTTATATTTTAGCTGTTATTTTCAGTAACTAATCTCTGTACGGGTTCGGTAGATTTGACCGATCTCGCAACCACCATAAAAAATAAGAAAATAAACATAAATTATGCCCTTTTCATCCTAGAATAAACACAAATTATAACACGAAAACATAAATGCTTAGACGAAATAGCTTAAATCTCATAACAGTTATATATATTTATTATATTGACCTTTCACCCGTTCCTGGCTAA